GAGGGTTGTTTTGGGCTAATTGGAGTGTAAATTAGCATGTTGTAGTTGATAAAGGAAAAAGGCCTAAATCATATTTTGATTGATAAATTAAAATGGAGAATAGTGAATCTATATTGTTAAATCTCTATTGTTGATGTGAGTTGGGTGAAGGTGTTAATACCTAAGGGTTAACTTTGGCTTTGGAATGGTTTGAAATGAATGTGGTGGACTAATGTGAGTTATGGTTTTATTATCAATAAATTGGTTTTGTAAATAAACGGAATGTATTTGGTCTTTGTAACAACAAAAGTGATGGAGTTGATTTTGTGAAAACAAAAAGGGGAATGGAACTTGTTTTGTAAAATGGGAAAAGTATTTTGGAAATACGTATGAAATTGGTTTGTTGTTTCATGAGTGTCGAACACACACGTGTGGAATTGTATCTTGAACTATCATGTTAATATTGTTGTCAGGTTTGTGGTCTCATAATAATTGAGTTGTTAATTGATGTACAATATACATGCATCTAGAGGTTTTTGCTTGGTCATCGGTGGAGGATGACGTGTTTGTGTGAATTGCCGTGTATGTAATACACCATTGTTGATTGAACATCATATGTAATGAAATGCTGAATTACATTTAGTTTGTATACCGGTTGGGGAGAAGAGAGGGTTGTACTCCAGTTGTGTGAGAAGATAGGGGATGGACTCCACACACTTATTTGTTCAGCGCTTATAATCAGAGGTATCATACCCTTCCAGGTAGCGCCTGGAGAACTGACGCGCTGATATCTAAGGTACCATACCCTTCCAGCTAGCGCCTGGTAAACTGGTAGATTGTGGTGAGAAGTTATCTTTGGCTTTACTACGCATATAGCTAGTAGTGCAGTGTTGTTTTTGTTATTGTTTCAGTGTATCTGGAAACATTGTGGATTGTATTTGTACAGTGTTGGAGAGACGAGTTGACTCATTGATTGATTTTATGTATGTAGTTGAGTTGTTATCTTTTTATAAAGGTGTGCATGGATAATTATGATATAATTGGAATTGCATTGAAATGCCAAATATGTTTTGAAAAGGCACATCTGTTGTATGTGTGGCAATGGAAGAGTAATGGGCTTAGTGAATCTATTTTTTCTAAGTAGTTGTTAATGTTATAAAGATTGGGAACGGGGTTAATGAAAGGAAAAAGGAAGAATAAATCGCTTATAGCGGTGAATTAAATGATTGTTTCAAGAAAAGTTCATATATATATATATATATATTCATATATATATTTGTATAAACTGTCACAAATTATTCTAGTAAGAGTGGGTGTTCATGATCATAGCTATCTGTAATGTTGTTATTGTTAAGGAGCATGTTAAGTTCCCTACTGGACTATATGTTCATCCCACGTTGTTGAATCTTTTTCAGGTGATTAGCAGGGTGTGCTACAAGATTTGGATCTTCTTATTTGTTGGCCACGGGGCCTCAGTTATGTTGCGGAATGCCATTGTTGTAAAGGGTTACACCCTTTTTCCTGTACTTTGAATGATGTAAGCCCAAGGGCAATTTATTAAGTTAGTTCATGTAATATTTACTTTGCATACGAATGAGAGTATTGTTAATCACTTCTACGGATTGAATGTATGAGTTTATTTCTGCATGTTATCTCTGAAATTGAATTAAGTTAAAGAAATTGGTAATGACTCCGTGTAAATAAAGTGGGGCGTGACATGCTCTAATTACATTGATAAATTAATTGGTATAATTAATTTGAAGAAAAGAGGAATTAAACTGAGAACGTTGAAATGTTGATTATATATCCATTCGGTGCATTTATTTTCAGTATAGAAAATAATTGCTTTGGGCTATCGGTGGAGGATAGT